GGAACTACCAAGGCAGACTGGATTTGAAGAACAAAGTGCCAGAGACAAGAAAAGCCTGCTGAGTGGAGCCTGACACTCTACCTACTCTCCCCTTCAGGCACTCGCTGATGCAAAAGTCGCACAGGTGGAGAGGCTGAGGCACCAGGCAGAAAGCCCTGCTGAGGGGTGGGGAAGTAGGGCAGATTCTTTATCAGTGTCAAGGGGATGGGAGCACAAACAGGAGTTCAGAGCCAGCAGGGCACCAGGAGGAAGCCAGACGAGAGTCTCAGCATAGAATCCAAGCTGACAGTTACTTACTTTCCATACTTTTAAAAATATCAGTAAAATCCTAGCAAACAGAATTCAACAACACATCAAAAAAATTATACATCATGATCAAGCTAGTTTTATTCCAGGATTACAAGGGTGGTTCAACATATGTAAATCTATAAATATACTACACTACATAAATAAAATAAAAAGCAAAGACCGTATGAGTCTATCAATTGATGCAGAAAAGGCTTTTGATAACATCCAGCATCCTTTCATGATTAGAACACTTAAGAAAATAGGCTTAGATAGGACATTTCTTAAACTGATAGAGGCCATGTACAGCAAACCCACAGCCAATATCATATTGAACAGAGTAAAATTGAAAACATTTCCACTTAGACCTGGAAGTAGGCAAGGATGCCCACTGTCTCCACTGCTATTCAACATAGTAATGAAAGTGCTAGCTGTTGCAGTCAGGCAAGAGAAGGGGATCAAAGGTATTCAAATGGGGTCAGGGGAAGTCAAACTCTCACTCATCATGTATGACATCATCTTATGCCTGGAAAACCCCAGGGACTCATCCACAAAGCTCTTAGAAGTGATCAAGGAGTATAGCAGTGTCTCGGGATACAAAATCAATACTTACAAATCAGTAGCTTTTATATATACCAGCAATAATCAAGCAGAAAATATAGTCAAGGACTCTATTCCTTTTACAGTCGTGGCAAAGTAGATGAAATGCTTGGGAATGTAACAAAAGATGTGAA